CAGAAAGTCTCAACTCTCAACCAATAATATAATAAAATCGTAGCGATTTAACAGAGGAAGAAAACGTGTTTTCTATTTGCATTCTTTTGTCTGTACTTATATTTTACACTCTTCTCACTGTGTGCGTGTCGCTTTTCTGTGTGTACGATATTTTCACTTTTTTTTCTTTATTATTAATGTTTTATTATTTTATTTCATTTTTGTTTCTTTAATTTTTAAAAGTGGGTAAAAATGATATACGTCCTTCTTACCCGTTTCGACCTAGGGCCAACTAGAGTAGGCAATGACACGAGCCACTTATCGACTCATTATTTTAGCTTACGCCCACCTTTAAGGCGATCGCGTGACAAGTCCAAATTTTTCTATGCAAGCTGGCTCATGCCCGACCCCGCGTGCAGCTCATCTTAGCGTCTGCAAGCCATTGATTTGAACAAGTGCCATCAATTCAAATTATATTTTTCTTTTTCTTTTCGTATTCTTTTGTATGGATTTGTCACAAATCATTTCTTCATAGTTCTTTAGTTAGAATACTCCAATTGATGATTTTGCTGGTATTTTTCAAATCGCAAAAATAAAAAATTCAGCTTTCGAGAAAGAAAATGAGCCAACAAGCTGGCTCAGGCTCGGCTCGACTATTTACTTCATTTCGATAGATTTATGATATGTATAATAATCATTGTACTTCCATATAAGACCTATTTACTACCTAATTTAAGTATTTAACATGCCATTAAATCCATATGATGTGATGTATACTCATTTGTACTAAAATCCTTTGTCTAGATCGACAACAAGATAACATAGTCAATAATTGACAATATATTCTTCTGATATAATTTAATATTACAACTCCCAAATAAAATAATTTCCTGTCACTTTATTTTGTGCATAAATACTGTGCAAGTTGATTAACCTCAGCACCAGAAAGATTTTGGAATGGATGGGCATACATGGATTTGCAGTCAAAAAATACCCATTATCGAAACTTTTTTTTGAACATAGCAAAAAACTTTCAGATACTTCGTAAGAAAAAAGTATCACATCAAGCCTACCATCCCATGTCTTGACATTCCCTGGCAACTTCGAAAATGTTGGCAAACCATGAATTTCAGAAACTAGAGAAACATAAACGTAATTTGCAACCAGCGTTGCTTTTCAAGTCGCCCGATGAATAATAGGAAGGCCGACGAAATCTAACCAGCAATGAGTCTATTTCTTGTTATATATTCTCAGCTGTTTTTTAAGGAAGTGAGGAAAACGCATTTCTTTCTAGTCGGTATCTTTCAGCCTCTAAAGCCTTGAAAAATCTCCTCCTATATCTCACTTCATCATAATTTCAGCTTCTTGTTAGGTCTTTTTGATGTATCGCGACCAAAGTCCTCCAATTTCAGCAAAACGATAAAGATTTAAAACTAAGCTGGACTCAGCAATAGAATGCCATCAAATATCAAAAAGAAGTAAAATAAAAGCCAAAAAAAATACCTTCTGTTTATTGTTTCTATTCTTTTCCTTCTTTTTCTTCTTCTTCTTCTTCTTGTGTTTCTTTGACAAAGAGGTCTTTACCTCCTCCTCTTCAATGGCATCCTGTCAAGTTCTCAACAATTGGGGTAGTGCATAATAGTTGAGTACAAAGATGAGATCAAATAGAAAACAAAATTCTCATGCTTTTGAAATGATCACCAAGTACAATAACACACCTTAGAGTCGCTAAAACAATTAACATGATGAACTATCCTTCCTGAAGTTGAGGCCCCACCTGAATATCATTCGTATTGGATGAACAAAATGAGCAATCAACTTTCTCATGATAAGTAACAATCACTTATGGCAACAACTAAATTTCGCCATCTTGATTAGGCATTATGAGTTAATGGAACTCATGTTTAATATATGCAGTGAACAGACAAGAATGAAAACTGATGTCCAGAATATTAATGAGGGGTAATTAATTAAAGAAGGTTATAAAGAGGCTGCAATTGGCTCATTTAAATCAAGGTTATCAAATTTGATCGACTTTTCCAATTCCTGAAGGAATTACAGCAATACATAGATAAAAGAAAATATTTTAGAGGGAAATAGATATATTTTATTCAGTTCACTCTAAATAAAAATTGCCCACAACAGTCTTGCATTTACAGGACAATAACAATGATGAAATAGAATCAAGTCCAACAACTTTGATATCAGATAGACAAAATAATTCTATCTAGACTAGGGCTAAATCAGGGTTATCATTATCATCCCCTCGAGTCAGATTTTGCCGACTCCAATCATATTCTCGAACTTAACACCCAGTTTGAGCCACATTATTCTTCCAAGAATGCATTTTAAATAGTTATTTGATGGAACATATGTGGTTAAAAAATATGGAAAAGTTTTTGATTTGTATGTAATATTATTTTATTGAAAAATGTGTGGTTGAAAATAAGAGAGAGAAAAATGAATTTTTGATAAAATGGGTATCAAACAAGTTGTTAATGAATGAATCCAACTTAAGAGGGGGTTTGATGGGGATTAAAATTAGATTTTTAGTAGATTGTGATAGAAATTTTTGAAATGTGTAGTTGAAAAGTTGTGAGACCCATAAAAGATGTGGTTAATATTGACTCTTTGACTTTGACTTGGATTAAAATCAGATTTTAATCCGGACCAAACAGGGGCTAAATGTTTTTGTGACAGGATCTACCACTAGATCTTCAAACATGTAAAATAGATCACTCTTCTACTCTTGATCGCGTGGAATTTAAACCCCATATTGAAGTGGTTACTTCTCCCATGTCACATTGATTCTTCGCTGAGTTGATAAGTGAAATATTATCAAATTGACATACACTTGAGGCTGCTGCTACATACTCGGCTTCAGATCTTGATATTGCAAGCCCGATATTTTGGAGAATAAAGAAATCAAAGGAATTTAGTTGGTCAAAAGTAGAAGCATCCCAATTGCTATTGCAAGAAACTCGAGAACTTGTTAAAAATTGGTATCATCTTGTTACCAAGATTTGCATCTTACAACATATTCTCTCATGAACTACTATCGCAACACTCACTTTAATTTTTTCTTTTCTTTTATTTTCTTTATCTTCGTAAATTCTGCTTAGCACAATGTCATTTGCCTTCTTGTTTGATGTAGGATCTCCGAGAGGATCTAAACTCTCATCTAGGATGAAATCACGCACAATATAACTAGAGTCTTGAGACCACTTCCTTTCTCGTGTTTTCTTGTTAGAAGGTAAACAATGGTTTCTTTCTATCAATCTCCGTGATCTCAATTATACTTCGAGTAATTTTGCAATTGTCTTTGCCATACTTGATGCACCGATCTGGTCCTGATACTTTTTTGAACTTTAACTCTCTCGGGGTGAAGAATTGTAAAGGATGGGAACAAAACATGTAGGCGAGGCACATTTTCAACTTCGCAAATCAGGATTTACGAATTGTTGAAGTTTTATTCTCTCTAAAGTGAAAGAAGTGTTCATATTTTCAGGCATTACCAGGACATGGATGTTTATAACTATCAGCCATCTGAAATAGTGGAGGTTTAAAAACAGGTTAAGACCAGACCGGTGCACCAAGGATGGCAAAAGCCACTGGAAAATAACTAGCACTATCACCAAAATGAAGGATAATGGCAGATCCCTCCTAGGAAGAAAGAACGCAAGAAAGGAATTGGAGTCATGACTAACTGGAATATACATGATTTCACCCAAGATGATAAATTAGTTCATCTCAAAGATACCACGGCAAACAGGAAGGTAAAAGGTACTATGCTATGCAGAATTAACTAAATAAAACACAAAGGAATAAATCCATTCCGTTGACCTAGTTCCAGAGGAGGAATCTGTTCAGATTCAATTATTCAGCCCTCAGATCCATCCCGGGCCAACAACACAACCTAAAACAAACAATACCCAAGGTCTGAAAAACAAACATACACAAAACTATTTCACAAACCCAATTCAATAAGCATAACAAAAATTCAGAAAACTGACCCAAAAGAAAGATAATACTAACATACTAGCTTTTATACTACTAAAATCAAACACAAATTCTAGAGTACAAAGAAAAAAGATGATAAATTCATACTGGATTGAACAGTTTGTTTGGCATTTTTCACAGCCAATTCAACAAGCTTTGGGTCGACAGAGGCCAACCCATTTGGATCCTGAAGCTTCCGCTCAAGAAATTTCGCCAATGCCGCCGCCTTATTAGTCTTCACTGGCCCCCCAGGGTGAGCTAACCTACATATTACACCCAATTTTATACTCGTGCATACAGACATCACATTCGCGTACATATAAACACACCGATTGAAATCATACGCAGTAAATTCATAGATATATAGGTGGAAACCTGGGTAGGGATCGGGTAGGAGCGGATGCAGATGGAAGAGGAGCAAATTTGCTTCCTCGCAGTGCCCTTTTCTCATCTTCCGTAAGTCCT